CAAACAGAAAAAAAGCTGACAAGCACTGCATGACAATTAGTTTTTTTTAAATTAAGTCTCAGAAATCTTAAACTGTATTTGTCGTTTTCACTCGATACAGAAAATAGTCATAAACTGACGTTTAGAGAAAAACAATGATTGACAAATATGATATCAAGCCATATTCACAGCTAACTACTTCAGTTTAGTTTAGCGATACACAAGTTAGACAAGCTTTCAGTCTCAACTCTAGCATAATTTTGTTTTGAACATCGACTTTTATGATGTTTCTTTACAGTTTGATCTGTCAGATGATGCTCGAAAGGAGAAAGTTTTAGTCCTGCAATTACGAAGCAAGAAATTCATTTATGTAAAGACATTTATTTAGTAACACCGTTAGTTGAGTTTTGATTTGTGGTGAGTGAAAATTAAAATACACTTTAATGCATAATTCTCTTTTTCGCTCTGTGTTTTCAGGTAGGCTACTAAAGAAAAACAATAAGCCAAGAAAAACAACGCAAATTTGTCAGCCAAGCCAGCGAAAACAACACATATGCATGGTAAGTGAATTTCAGTTACTTTATACATTAGCGTTAGTCAATATTTAAACAAACTAGCAGATATCGACACGAATCTATCAAATATGAGTAGGCCTAAGTGAAAAGGGAACGGAGATTCAGAATGATCATTAACTGTCAGATTAAGATACGGTTGATTAAATCGGCTGAGGAAACATTAGGATAAATGCAATCATTACATATACTTAAAACATTTTTTTGCTTGGAAACTAAATGTTTCTGTTCTGTTAAAGATGCAAAGTCAATAAATTCCAGTGAGCCGCTCTAGCGCCAGACTGCAGTGCGGTGCTGCGCTCTAGCGTTAAGGCTGCGTACTGCACGCTTAAACACTGTTTTTGTCACTTGGTACAGTGTAAAATATGAATTATTACAGTAATTTCATAATTAATAATTAAGTATGTAAATCCTGAGTAATGAAGCTGCAGACTCGGAGACCTGCATCTACAGTCCCCCTGCACCGAGAGTCCCGCATTCTCAGACCCCTCGTTTTTCGAGACAGCGCCTCCTATCAAATTGTATCGGATAAACATGTGAAGAACATGTGAAGAACTTAAGCCAAAACGTGAGTAGGCTATCTTCAATTTTATTTAGCGAATCGTAGTAGCCTACTCGTTTGGTTTATTTTTTAATAAAACTAATTTAGCTCATCGATACAACATATGAATAGTCCATTTAATATTTGTAAAGATAGTTTGTAACAAGATTTGAGCCGTTAATGTATGTTTTTTCGCCCTCTTCCCCCCGAAAATATTTTGATAGCTAACGTTAGCCTTTAACCTTGGACTTTTTGTAGATATGTCATAAATGCTGCAGTGATTTTCACTGCCCATTTTGTGCCCCGGCCGGCCGGCCCCCATATATTTCAAACCCACAAAGTTGTCCAAAGTTCAAAAACATCTCAAGGGACACTTCAACAGAGCAGTGCAACATGAAGGTAACATTTGCAAACATCTTTTTTCTTTTTTTTTCTTTCTTTTTGAAACATCATAAGACATGTGCTATCGGGCCTATACCGTTGTAGGCAATTCCAGGGTACACCATACATCGATGGAGTCGCCCCTGCCGAACCCAGCAACATATCATTTTATGATTACGCAAAGCGACTTATAAATTAGTTTTTTTAATGCAATTGAAGACTAAAAGTAAAGTCACGAACACAGTTTTTTCTTCCTTTTTTCTTTACAGCAAGATGATGTTTAGGTGATCATTAAATAAAGTACAGAATTGTTTATTATTGGTGTTTTGTCTATTCTGATTTGTTTTGCTTCGCATTCAAAATATAAAAAAACAGATTTTGTAATGTTAGCATGGTAATGTTAATTAGACCATTATAGGTTGAACTGAAAGAAAAATTGGAATTTGAATAAAAAAATATAAAAAAAAAACATTGTAGCAATATAATATCACATACTATTTTTCAGAAGATAGTTCAATCTGTAATTGTATCCCTTCCATCGCAATGAGTTTTTTTTTTGGCACATGCATTAAGCAGGGAACGCAAACATTTATCGGATCATTTATTTGGAGACCGTAATATTGCATCCTATTGTTTTTAACTACATTTGGATAAGCGTGAGCTGTACTCTGTGCGGGTGTTATACGATCTTTCGAACAGCAGGAGGCGCTGTGTTCGAAAAACGAGGGTTCTGAGAATGCGGGACTCTCGGTGGGGGACTGTAGATGCAGGCTCCGAGTCTGCAGCTTCATAATATTGGTCATCCTTGCGCTATGGCGAAACGGATCTTAGGGTGAATTGTTGCAAATTGTTTCACCCGTCACCGCTCACGGTTTGGTCGACGGACGAACTGTTTCACCAAGTCCCGCCTCTGCTCCCCTCGCCTCATTGGCCGGCCGACGAATTGTTTCAGAGACGCTCGTTCCTCCCATTGGCCGGGAGCCCCGCCTCGGCTCCCATTGGCCGAGGCCAGGGCGCCGGCGCCTCGCCGAGTCGGACGTCATTCACTCTTGTCAAAATCCCGATTTTCCCCGAAATAACGCTCCCTTGCTGTTTTACTCGATTTAACACAACATTAAACACAAACGTTTTTTTTTTAAAAACGCCACCATTTTCTGTACACTGTATTGTGGCTGTATTTAAAATAAGCATAATAGACATTTTATCAATGTGTACTGCATGCAGAAGAGGCGGGAGGGGGAAAATGGGCTAAATTTAATATATCGAGCAGTTCATAAACTTGCGATGAGGTTTGCCCGCCTAAAACTTATAATTCGGCATAGTTTCATTCATGATTTTTATCGACACCCAGTAAATATGCTGGTTTTCTTTCTTTTAAATATGTCCAATGCATGCAGAAGAGGCGTGAGGGGGAAAATGGGCTAAAATTAATATATCGAGCAGTTCATAAACTTGCGATGACGTTTGCCCGCCTAAAACTTATAATTCGGCATAGTTTCATTCATGATTTTTATCGACACCCCGTAAATGTGCTGGTTTTCTTTCTTTTAACTATGTGCAATGCATGCAGAAGAGGGGGAGACTAACAACTTAAGTTATATAATTCGGTATAAAATGTACAGTTTCATTCATGATTTTTTATCGACGACAGCCAGTAAATCAACTTCTTTAAAAAATATATATATAACGTTAATGCATGCAGAATTCTTCTGATGAGCGTTCGTTTGACCCTTCACTCACTTTATGTCAGTTTTATGATCAGAATAATTAACAACTATGAAAAAAGAAAACGAAATTCGTTTAAAATAATAAAAATATATAACTAAAAAGAAAAAAATGTGCACTAATGCCCCCCATTGATGTAGATAATGTACATTTTTCCATGAATATTTATTTTGTGTATGAGGTTTTCAGTCAATTGTTTGTCATTGCTTTACTGTTGCAGGATGGAAAGCACACCCAACCTGCGTATGGAGGCTGGAGAGCTGGTGCTGAGGCCTTCTAAGCGGGCAGCCACTGTGGAGAAAGTTCACCTTTCTCAAGTGGCTAAAGGGGTGCCCTTTGTCCCAAAGTACCCTGTGCTGGGGGAGGCCAAGGTCAGGGTCATTCAAGGTGGAGGGAATCCCTTTGATGACCTGCTGGTGGCAAGTCAAAGTGCCATCCAGTTTGGTCAATACAGAGGGAAACCCTTCAAATGGATGCTGGAGAATGACCTTGGCTACTCCCTCATGGTCCTGTCTGGGCATCAGCGGGAGCGTGAGGCTGGCAGATTGGACAGAGGTGCCCTCATGGCTAATAAGGATGCCTTTCTCCAGTATGCCTGCACGATTTGAGATGGTTGCAGAAGCCATCAAAGTGCGCAGGCAGAGAGAGGGTACGCTACCTGGCTGTGAGGGTGACTGTCTGGTGGGCTTTGGGGTCCACAAGAAGAGCACCTACAAGGAGCTCTATGAGGCTACGGACAGGGAGAGGAAAAGGTAGTATGTGCTTCTGTTTGCTTGTTAATTGTATTGCTGTTTTGTATTTATTTTACTCTTATCATGTACACTATTGTGTATCTTATGTAGCTATGTGGAGTTCATCCGGAACAAGGGCACCAGTACAGGCAGCAAGATGGATGCCTTGAAAAGATACATCTTGCTGAGGGACCAGCAGAGGAAAAAAAGCCATCTTCTGCATCCCAGCCTGCTGTCCCGCATCCTTCGCGTTCGGCTTCTCCTCCTCCCAGCCAAAGCTCCCATTCCCAGCCAGCCACAGCACACGGTGAGTTTTTAGATCTATAAGTGGTGTAATTCTATGGATGTTCTAATGAAATTATGAATAACATTGCAATTTTTCTGCCCTCCGAGCCAACAGATGAAGATCTGCTGGCTTCAGCCATGGAGGTGGAGCCACAGGGTGAGTGTTTTGTTTTCTTTTGTGTGTAAAAAAAAAAAAAAAAGATACTCACCTGATCATATGTGATCACTAATACATTTACTAACATCATATAGCATTGTTATGTAACCACAAATGTCTTCAAATTATGAAATCATTTAGTACTAATTACAAAATTAAAATGATGTGTTCTTCACAGTACTTGCACCACCACCTTCAACGCCGATCCGCTCACCTCGCTTAGAGCAAAGAGCCGCTCAAAGGCTGGTGTCAGCAGCTTCTGAGGTACAGTTTTCACACCAGAAGTTTACATATATATATATATATATATATATATTATAAATGAATAATAATACATATGTATATATTATAGTCATTTTGTTTTTATTCAAATATAACATATTTTTGTGTGTGTATAGGTTGTTCTCCCTGAGGCCTGGAAGCACTCCCTTCCAAAAGAACAACACGAGTGGATCGGCCGCTCCCTCTTCCGGCGCCAGGGTGGAAGGGCAGCGCTGACAGATAACCTGCAGATGTGGTGGTACCCTCCCCAGCCACGCCTGCAGTATCATCAGCCTCCAGTGTCGCCGGACGTGTTCTTCACCTGGCCGCTGTGTTTGTGGATGCCCTACAGTATGTGGTCCTACAAGCTGATCTGCAGCTCGCCAGACTGCAGACGGTCTGGTCAGCGACTGACATCATGTGGGCTCTACAAGACAGCGAGGCGGGTGCTGAATTTACACGGCTGGTATTTTCTGGCAACAGAATACCTGGAGTGTCAGCGCTGCCACAAGAAGCTGGCCGCGTGGTCCTATGATATCCTGGACCAGCTGGATCCGGCTCACCGCAGGATGTTCCCAGCCATCCTCACTTACCGGTGAGTCATGAAAAAATTATTCTTATTTCAGGTGCAATTAACTACTAACTGCTGTAATGGTAATAATGTAACTTAAACGACTTAAAAATAATATTTTTGTCAGTACTTTTTCAAAATTAATTACACGTAATTTGTACACAAAACAAGCATTATCTTGCTTTTGTACTTTTTCACTGTGTCTGCCAGTCGAGGTTCTATACAAAATGTGTGAACGACCCACCCCCATTGATCTTTGCTTGACCTTTCAAAGGTGTCAAACTCAGAACAATAACATTCCAAGACCTTGAGACAACTAGCCTGACAGCTGAGGTTCTATTCAAGATGTGTTAACGGCCCCCCATTGAGCCTTGCTTGACCTTCGATAGATGTCAGACTTAAAACAATATCAAAGTCTGTACAGTTTTTTATCTTTTTCTATGGGAAACATCGCACCTGTCCTCTGCTCTGAAAAACAAACAAAAACAATTCAAAGGAACTGTAATAAACTTTGCCTTTGTCTGTGTGTTTTAACAGGTTCTCTTGTGATATGCATGTGGCAAAGTTGATGAGGGAGCGCTCTCTCGGCAACAGCGTCTCTATGCTGTAACACAGGCTAGTGAGGAATGGATGGAGAGGTCTCTGCAATACCTCTCTGTGTGTGACCGGTTCCAGGGCACCACCACACAAGCCCATCTCACCTCCACCACCCAAGCCGCCTGTACCAACCGCCAAGTGGCTCCTCTCTGTCCACGCAGAGGATATCCGGTCCCGATATGGTGAGCTCAAAGCCAGGGTCACCTCTGTCTTTGGGTCCATCCTGAAGATGGACTCCACAAAAAAGGTAACATATTAATAAAATATTAGATACACCCAAATGTGTATGTACAGGTGTATATAAATATTCTTTAGGTTATCTGTACTGAATTTTCTGTTTTTCAACAATAGGTGGCCAAAAAACTGGCGGGAGCCGCAGCTGGGACCGCAGCCTGGGTCACCAATGTGGGCAATGAGCACGGACAGGTCCTCATGTCTGTGCTCACCTCACATGAGGGTCAGGGACTGCTGCCCATGACCACAGGCCTGGTGAAAAGGTACGAGGCGGCTGGTGTCGCTCCCCCTACACTCCTTTATGTGGACAGAGACTGCTGCTCTTCTGTGGGCACATCAAGAGGAGGTGCCATGTTCAGCGGCTGGAGTGATGTGGTGGTACGTCTTGATGTGTGGCACTTCATGCGGCTCTTCGCCGCAGGTCTGCACACTGACAGCCACCCGCTCTACGGTCTGTTCATGGCGAAGCTCTCCGCCTGCATTTTTGTCTGGGACGAGGGAGATGTGGCTCTGCTGAGGGAGGCAAAAATGAGGGAGCTGGAGCAACAGCAGGGCATCAGAGGCCTCACTGATGACCAGCTAACCAGCAGGCTCACCTCCAGATAGTTGGCGCTGCACTGTCGCCGCTGCACACGTGGCGTGGAGGAGACAGAGCAGCTGATCGGTGAGTTGCTGGAGGCCTTCAAGGACGCCAGGGAAACCATGGGCATCCCCTTGGTGGACCAGGAAAGGATGAACGTCATCTGGGACACCCAAAGACGTTATCTTCCCTGCATCCAGGACCCCACTGGTGTGCAGCTGTACACCCAGACAGGAAGTATGACAAAGGGAGGGCTCATACTTACTGTCTACCGCTGCGCTCGGGGTTCCACTTTCCTGGAGTCCTTCCACAACCACCTCAACCGCTTCATACCCGGTAAGATTACACACATCCACCTCAATGTGTATTTTTTGTGATGGTCTGTTTCATATCTTTTGTAATTATAAATTAGTGTTTATGTTTCCTCTTTTTTTAAAATCAGGAACGAGCGCTAACCTGGAAAATTTCCAGGCTTATCTGCTTGAGGGTTTGGAGCGGTGGAACGAGGACCGCGCTGCTGCTGCTGCTACTGCAATGGACGAGACACCGTCGCCCCGGCGCTGCTACAGTGCCTCGCTCCAGCACAGCCTCAATGAGCTCAGTCAGCGTCTTCTTGGCTGTAGTCTTGTACAAGACTATTCAAAGCCAGCAGAGTACACGGGTATGTGTCTATAAAGCCATGTTTTGTTGTTTTCTTTGTAATGCACAGGTGTCTGTTTTAAAACCTTGTTTTCTATTTAACTATCTGTTTTGTCAGGCGAGCTCATCGGGGTTGAGTACCTGTGCTCGCAGCAGTCCTGGGAGTTCAGGGAGAACTTTGGGCGGGACCCAGATGCCCCCGACAGAATCCCAGACGACTTGGGGGATGTAGAAGATGAGGGATTTGGGGATGAGCCAGAGGACCAGGACCACACACCATCTCCCCTCTCTCTTTGGTGTCCACCAAGGAAGCTGTACGCTTGTCTCGGGATTCACCGTCACCCTCTCTGTCCTCCCAGGACCTGCCACCTGAGCCCCAAGAAGATGTATGTATGCATGCAAGCATCCCTTGCCATGCCATCATATGGAGGACTTTTTTTCATCCATACTAACTTCTTCTTTCTTCTTGTTAGGTGTGCAGAGGACCAGATGGGACACCAGGTTATGATAGAGTGGTGGACCTGGCCAGGTACCTTGTTAAACTCCGAGAAAAGCCGTGTGTCTCAGATAGGGAAGCCACTGGCATTGTTCGGCTGTGGGACAGACTGCCAAACAGTGACAAACAGGGTGTTTCCTATCCGCCGAGACACAAGGAGAGACTTTTACAAGGCAGGTTCAAGGCCACCCACTCCAAAACCACCTGTCATGGAAAGGAGAGCCTGAAGCGGTAAGTTAAATATTTGCACACAGAACTTTAATAATTTAAATGACTATATGCTTTATAATTCCCTATTTTATTTTACAGGTGTGTGCTGGGGCAGGGGTCGGGTCCTGCACAATGGCCCAATATTAGTCGAGTTGTAGAGGCAGTATGTCTGGAGCTTCGCTCCATTCATCCAGCGGGGAAGGTGAAGTGGGGCGTTTCACTGAAGGCTGGTGGGGAACTGCCCAGCTCTGAGGGGACGGGCAAATATTCAGCTGTTCGAGGTCAATCAGCGGACGCTTTCTGTCTGGTAAGTAGTTTCTTTTTAAAGCCAGCTATAAAAGGAATTTTACAATTCTCATATTCTGTTCATCCTATTAATTGTGCCATTTTAAACAGGTACAACAACTACAGGAAGAAGCTGGAAGCAGACGTGCTGGCTCTGAGTGTGCCCTTACCTCAGATCCGCATGGTGTCTCACACCCTTCTTCCTGTAGCCAAACAGAAGACGTCAGTGCCCGCTGCACCTCAATCAGCACTTCCACCTTTCCCCTTTGTTGTTAACCCTGACCTGTCAGGTCAGGCAGTACGACGGAGGCAGCGACATCCTCCTCCCCCCGCATCAGCACCCGTCCTGTCTGCTCCGGCGTCACTCTCTGCTCCACCGCCGGCGTCCCTCTCTGCTCCACCGCCAGCGTCACTCTCTGCTCCACCGCCGGCGTCACTCTCTGCTCCACCGCCAGCATCCCTCTCTGCTCCACCGCCGGCGTCACTCTCTGCTCCACCGCCAGCGTCACTCTCTGCTCCACCGCCAGCGTCCCTCTCTGCTCCACCGCCAGCGTCACTCTCTGCTCCACCGCCAGCGTCACTCTCTGCTCCACCGCCAGCTTCCCTCTCTGCTCCACCGCCAGCGTCACTCTCTGCTCCACCGCCCACTTCACTCTCTGCTCCACCGCCAGCGTCACTCTCTGCTCCACCGCCCGCGTCACTCTCTGCTCCACCGCCAGCGTCACTCTCTGCTCCACCGCCAGCGTCACTCTCTGCTCCACCGCCAGCGTCACTCTCTGCTCCACCGCCAGCGTCACTCTCTGCTCCACCGCCAGCGTCACTCTCTGCTCCACCGCCAGCGTCACTCTCTGCTCCACCGCCAGCGTCACTCTCTGCTCCACCGCCCGCGTCACTCTCTGCTCCACCGCCAGCGTCACTCTCTGCTCCACCGCCCGCGTCACTCTCTGCTCCACCGCCAGCATCCCTCTCTGCTCCACCGCCAGCGTCACTCTCTGCTCCACCGCCAGCGTCACTCTCTGCTCCACCGCCGGCGTCACTCTCTGCTCCATCTTTGAGCAGAACAACTTTGTGGAGGAAGAGAGGCAGAAGAGTTTTTAGCCCAGAAGCAAGGGCTGCCCCCTCCACAACAACGTGAAAGAAAAGATTACACATGCAGTCGATGTGGGCAGCCCAGAAAAAAAGAGTTTGGGCACACCAGGGTGGGCAGCTTCTTCTTCTGTGCCACAGCAGAGGGAAAGACTGTAGAAGAGTGGCTGCAGGAGAGGAGAAATGCTTCACTGTAAATAGTTATTTGTGTAAATATTGTAAATGTCCTGTTTCTTCCTATTAAGGAATATTTATTTGCACTTAATAAAGAGCATGTAATTATTCCAAAACGATTGTTCTTTATTTCAAAAGGTTTATCTGCCTACATAACAGTCATATAAATTGTCCTTAATAATAATTATTTATTTTAGAACATTTAACGACTGTTCTTTTATTTGAGAACATTTCTTTGCATTCCATAAATCCCATGGTAATATATCAAAATCTTATTTAAGGTTTATCTGCCTTCATGAGTCATGTAAATTTCCCTAAATTATATATATTTTTTTTACTTTTTTTTTTACACATTTATTTGCCTTCATAAAAACCATGAAACAGTCCTTCTTTATTTCAGAATGCTTCTCTGTTAATAGGCCATGTTTGACCTATATATATAATATATGCACGTATATATTATTACATTTATACGTATTTGTTGTACTTATACAGATTTAAATTAAAAACATGGGTAGGGGTCCCACAGTTAAGGCCATGTTAATAGTCATAAAATACTGTTCTTTATTTTAGAATGTTAATCTGCCTTCACAAAGGCCATGTTAACAGTCCTTTTGTCTTCATTAAGGTCAGGCTAATTGTCTTGCCCATTTATTTTATTTGTGGAGCTTTTTTATTCATTTAAATTATGCATTAGCATTCTAATGTTCCTATGTTAAATAGATTGTTATATTATACATATATACATACATATATACATAACGGAGTCAAACACAGTCTGGGTTTTTTGTGTGTGTGTGTTTATTAAATAGTTCACATTAGAACTATAAAAAAAATATAGAAAATGTAAACAAAATGTTAAATTGTTTATTTATTAAATAGTTCACATTAGAACTATAAAAAAATATAGAAAATGTAAACAAAATGTTAAATAAAACATAAATAAGTGAACAGCAGAAGCATTATAACAAAATTAACATAACATAACAAAAGATAAAGATTATTTAAAGATACAACCAAAGGCATTTATTCAACAGGAGCAAGAGCCCGTTGCTCTGCCAACCAAAGTTCAACTGTTTTGCCTTCATAAGAACTGCAGAAGGCTTTGCCAGCATACCTGGAGTGACCGTACTCCTTGGTTTTTGGCTGCTGGCACAGGCTGCAGGTTAAAACTTTCCGAGGTTTTGCCTTTTTCTGAGAAAGGCCTTTAGCAATGGCTTCTTCTCGTTTCTTCTTCCTCCAAGCAGTTGTCTGAGGAACATCTCTAACATTGTCAGCAGCTGCTTTTCGCTTTTGTTCAGACAGCCACTCGGAGACAGTCCTTCCCTCAAGCTGTGGCACAGAAATGCTTCCCCCTGTAAAAGCTGTGGCCAAACTCAAGCTTTTTGGGGTTTCCACAAAGCCTGCAGGGATACCCCGCAGGATCTCTTCGACGCGCAGTCGCTTTGCCGTGTTTTAGGGCCTTTTTATCTTCTTCGACCCTCTTCCTCCGTCTCCAGGCCGTGACCCTTGGCACCCGTTTAAGGCCTACATCAACCACAGCTGATGGAGGAGGGAGCACAGCCAGCGATGCACATGGAGGAACTGTAAAAGATAAATAAAAAAAAGTTATTTTAGACATTTGTTGACTTTCATTTGTTGACTTTCATATGAATTAATTCTTTTACATTGATTTATAGTTTAAAGATCTTACCTGACACTTTCACGGTTCTCATTTTTGGGGGCCACCGCTGGCTCGTGGATGGGGTGGCTGGAGGAGATGAGCTTTCCAGGCTCTCCCGGAACAGCCTCCTCCTCTTTCTTTCCTCTGAAGAAATTCGTGGAGGCCAGTAAGGTTTGCAGAACTTTAATAAAGACTG